TTTCAACCATCAACCAAAACATGAGTTTGGACTGTGGGAAATGATGCCCACATATGCAGCCATGCTGTTACATTTTGTGTGCCCACCATGTGCTCACCTAAACAGGGGATTTATAACCCCAGGGGAAGAATCATGAGTGTATATTATTCACTGTCACTGAAAGATAATATTCAGGACAGCATGCACGTATAAAATGTTTGGCGTGTTCAGCACATAACCTGCGCCACATGTTTATGTCAAATCAATGTCAGCAAGTTGGAAGTCTGAGTGATGACGGACAACAGAAAATCAACAATCATGGCAGAACCTTAGAGGGAAGGCAGGATATGTGAGACGTCGGTGTGAGACACAAAGACCTTCAGAATAGACTGGAGAGAATGTGGAATATGAGGAGGAGTGATGAGATCTAATGTATTATTATATATTGTATTAACTGACATATGTATTCTTAGTGTAAGTCAAGATACTACACGTATGTGTTTGTTCCCATTATTACAGCTCCCATGTGGGTGAGGATCAGTCGTTTCTAAGAACAGAAATAGAGGGTCATCACAGTCACGAGACTACATTGTGCTAGAACTCGGCCAGCTGGGAAACAGGTGGGAACCAGGGAACCAGGTGGAAGGACCAGGAGAACTGGGCGGAAAGATTGGAACAGCTAAGAAGGGACTCAACACGAGGACTCTCAGAGGTTCCACTTTCTAAAGTTATGTAACATGTATTTATGTAACTAAACACCACCATTATCATTTACTCTTATCTTAGGGGCTCAGTTATCAAGCTGAAGTATCCCATTACCACCATACCATCATTATTGACTAAAAATATAACGAACTAAAATGATTATTAGGATAATAAATCAAGGAAATGGTCTTATCCTGCATCAGTTTTTATAATTCCAAGTGTGCCTGTTCTTACCTGTTTAATTAAACTGTTAAGATAGAATAGCATTTGGTGGGGGCTCATTAAATAATAATAATAATTTTGTACCAAGAGAAGGTCGACGGATTGGGTCAACTGCCCTGTCTAGTAAATAATTCAAAATAATAATATATAGACATCTAAAACCCATTTCCTTCTCTTGTGGGTACCAAGTTCAGCTAAAGTTAATATAAATAACGAGCCAATATGGCTGTTTTCTTGGATATCCAGGACTTTGTCTGAGAGCAACATAGCCCGGATAATAGTTCAGTTAATCTGGTGGAGGGGATGTGTTGAGAGAAAAATCCCTACTTAACATATAAATCATTTAAACCCAAATCCAGAGAACCCACGACCCGGGACGTCACACTAAAAGTGTTGTAAGTTCCAAGGGAGTGGGCCGTAACGTCACAACCACGGGAATTTTGTCGCTGTGTCTTGAGTGATGTCGTTTCTCTCGAACCTCTTGCTGTTTCTGTGGACTGACATTAATGTTGCTGTCTTCAGCAAAGAAATTGATCAGCCGCCTGTTTTTTTTTAAGGATGGCTCCTTCTGAATATATTGTAGTGTTTGTCCATGTACTCTCGTCATTAATTTGTTTTACCAGCCTCCACAGCTTCCTTGTGTCTCTTTCAAAGTTTAGAGACTTTTTTTTTCCTTGCCAACATGCCGTTCTAGCCTGCAGCTTGGCTCTTTGAAATTTGGCCTTTGCAAGTTGGTATTTGTTGAACAGCTCCTGACAAGGTCTGATTTCAGCTTTCTTTCTTTTGATTTCCACATCATTGTGCAATTGTTGTAGGTCACAATTCAAGTATGGTTTACATTGCTTAAGTGTGCCTCTTGGTATTGTTTCCAGGGCTGCCTGCAAAATACATTTGCTGAACTTTGACTACTACTTTGTCTGCATTGTAATGTTTTTATATTTTTAACCAAAACACTTGTAAGGTGCTGATACAATTTCCAGTCTACCTTCTTGTAATTCCATCTTGGTAAAGTGCTGCTGTTTCTGAGACTAGTTTTCTATTGTTAGAAAGACTGGGCGGTGATCACTGCCTCCTAGTTGTTTCCCAACAGTTCTGGTTATGTCCCGTTCCATGTCTGGTGAATGAAAGGCTATGTCTGGCATAGAAGTGCTATGCCATGCTCTTGAGTAGAGGGTTGGTGGGTCGGTTGGCTTTTTTTATGAGGATGAATTTGTTTTCATCCTGCCAGTCCTCAAGTTTCTCTCCCCTCAGATCCATGTGATCGTAGCCCCAGCTTTTTGAGTTACTGTTGAAATCTCCACACACAATTATTCTTTTATTTACTACTATTGTATTTAGTGCCTGTGGGTGGTTGCTCGGACAGTAATAGTTGATTAGCTGGAAATCTGTTTTCTGTCTTGAGCTTAAGAATATGGTACTCCACCTCTTCCACGTAGGCTCCAGTCTGGCATGCAAAAATTTCATCTTTGACTAGGGTTAGTATTCCACCCTACCTTCTGTCTTTTCAGTCAGATCGGTAACATTGGTAGCCTCTGATCTTAAAGGCTATGCATCATAGGCATCATTGTCACATCAACATTTATATTAAACGCTTACACAGCATTGTTGTTTTGTTAACAATTATGATGCGTCTGGTGCTGTCTGACGACCTTGACTATGAACGTACATCAAAATGAAGGTAATCAGAAACACACAGTCCTGATGCAGTTTAGAAGCATGTCTGTAATCTTTGGCAGCCATTATTTCATCAAAAATACAGGTTACATACACAGTAGACAGCTAAGTATAGGATTTTTGTGAACAAATCCAGACGTGAAAATTCCAACCACCATTTGTTTGCGTCCGGGGCGAACTGATGTATGAAACGCTAGATATTGTGAGGCCCCTTTGGGAGCGAGTGAACAGAGCGGAGGCACAGATAGATCATTACAGTCTGAGGAGAATGGAGCTACGAGGAATAACCAGGGGATCTGGCCAACGCTCAACACTCACGGGAAAGGCGAGAGGGATATAAAGACAGTTTCTGGCGCCAGCGGAATTGGAACTCTTCGCTTGCTGCTGAAGATGGGGATGGAGGGTTTATGGCATTGTCCCGAGTGCTATGATTTCAATTCTTAATTCACAATTCAACACAGATGCAGTCTATGGCATGAGATGATGAAGGAGTGATTCATGCAATGAAAAAATGTGTACATGATCAAGAAAAAAATCTGCTTCAGGCTAGAAATACATGTATTTGTTTCGTACTGGCATAAAGCCATACACGTTAATGGGGATTATGATAAATAATACTGATGTTTACAAGATAAATCCATGATTAGTGTGTGTTAATTTCTAGCTTTTTGAGTTAACAGCTCCTGAGAAAGAAAATGTAGGTATTATTTTCTGAACTGCCGTCATAATTCTGTGCAATTACCTGGATATGAGTTTTTCTGGATACGGGGTCAGACTGTGATTTTTTTGGGGGGAGCCACAGAATACAAGGCGACATAAAAGTGAAGAGGCAAGAACTTTAAGCAATACCTGGCATTATCTAAAAAACTTGAGATAAATCTGAGTGGATAAGGTCAGGTTAGAAATGCCGAAGGGGTAACTTAACTCTTTGAATACTAGTTGCCAGTTAACTGGCTTTAGAATTTATCCCTATCAGACTATTCACCAGTATACTGGTGAATTATAGAGACACTTTAATTTTATTCCGCATGTGGGGGGAAAAGAACTTTAATGAAAATGTTTTGAAAAATTGGTATTAGCAAAAGGAAGTCTTTTCGTTTGTGATGTTCCGTGTGGCTTTTGCGTCACTTGCTGATTTAAAAAAAAAAAAAAATTAGATGTGGTACAAATTTTACCTGATTTTTCTATACCAAATGATAAGGGTAAAGGTCTAGGATATAAAAACTGAATAAAATATTTCAATGGGATCATCTGTTTTGAACAGCTGTTTTCCCGATATTCGGTTGTTGTGAAGTTTGACATGTCATATAAAAATGATCGTAACATCCAAAGTATTTAAAATAATTGTTTCAAATATAGACTAGCTGATACATAACTGAACAGAGAAGGTATGTGAATTCTTAGAATTGGATAGCAGTGTTTCTGAACAAATAAGGTGAGCACACAATTTGTTATGTAAATAATCTTCATTTGTGTCTAACATCCTTGAATGATGTGTGAGTTTAATAATATTTTGTTGTAATACTGACACTTAAATAGTTCAGATTTATTCTGCACTCATTTATCTTTAATTTGTTATATTACATGTCCTGATACAGCCAATACTTTTTTTTCTGGAAGGTTTTAGCTTTGTCCTGTTGAAGTAAAAAAAAAATTCCGCTCAAAATTAATGCTGTCCAAACCTCAGAAAAAATGTGGTCCTGAAAGAGTTAAGTAAAAGTAATTCCAGATTCTTTTTCAGTACAGCCAGCTGAAGATGGGGATGGCACATTAAAGGGAAAAGCCTGAGGGCTGCAATGTCAGTTCCTAACTAAACTCAGCTCGAGATTCAATTCTAATTGTTTGTTCCTCTTTTTCTTTTAATTTCAAAACAATTATATTAAAACAAGTTGCAACTGAGCTTTTCAGGTACATGTCTTGAATATTTCCACAAGCAAACCTGAGGGGAGAAAAAAAAACCTCACTCGATAAATATTTATTTAACGCCATGTAGAGGGAGATGATGATTGTGAGGGGGGAAAAGGCCAAAACCAGGGAGGAAGCTACAAATTAAGTATAGTGAATAGTGATAGTTATGACACCTTTTCCTCAGCCTACGCAACCTGACCACCAAAGTTTTTTTCTTCTTATTTCTTTATGTAAATATGTGTTTATTTATTTTAATTTTGTTCCAATATTTGGTTTTTAAACATTTATTATTGTAAGCAATGCTGTTATATGATAAACACAAATAAATAGAAACTAAAAGTTTTTTTAAAAACTGGAACAAACCAAAATTATTTACATTATTTTAATGGGGAAATTAGTTTCAGGATACAAGTTATTTGCCATACAAGCTCTGTCATGAAACTAATTAAATGTGTATCTTGAGGTATAGAAAAAAATCAATGAGTAGCTGAAAAAGTCCCATTGAGGCTTACCTTAAATACTGCATCTGCATTATCTGATCTACATACAGACACAATACATAGGTTTTTGTCTGGCAATAGGATTTTCAGCTCTACCTCACTGCTACCATCAGCCTGTTGTAGTGAACAATATCACAGTTAAGAGCACATCATAATGGATTCAAACATTATAAACACATGCCAAAAACTACAGAAAAATTATTTGTTTTTCATTCTTTTTGCGATAATAAGTTTATTAACTCTGTCCAGACATTATAATAGGCGAATTAAGAACTTTTCATTTAGAAACTGCCCACTAGCACCATATTCATCATCAGCAAGTGCTTAATAATTCATGTCAGCAGTCACACATCTTCAAAACTCATAGACTAGCAACTGATGCATTAAATCTTCTTCTTTCTTCTGTTGTCCTACTGCTTATGGTGCACAATGTTGAAGGTGTGCACTTAATAAAATGCAATAATGGCATGGGGAAAAATAGCCAACTTGAATCTTTATTCCCTAGGTTCCTTTGCATTTGCTGACCATTTATCTTATCAGATCTTACAATAAACATACTTCTGGAATGAAAGAATATTCTTGCTTCTATTCTATCATTATCCATTTCTTCTTCATGTCGCTTTTGACACAAATGATCTCTATTGCTGCTGGTCTGCTGCTTTTCTGCCCATGGTATCCCATGTCAGTTTAAATTCCTTCATTTCTCATTCTGTTGTCCTTTTCCAGGTTTCCTTAGGTCGTCCAGGTCTCCTTTTTCCCATCTGCTGTCCACCGGAGAGCTGTTTTTGCCAGGGTGTCACAAGGCATTCTGCAAACATGTCCAAGTCATCTCCATATTCTTACTTTGATAATATTTGCCAGTGATGCACATTCTGTTTTTCTCCTCAGTTCTTCATTTGTGATCTTGTTTGGCCAAAATATTTTAGTAAAAAAATAAGTAAAGGACCCTTTTCCACACCTTTAGGTGTATAAGGGCATAAAAGGCTAGATCTATAAAATATTCGTAGAATTCTCCTTAAACATTTATTTTGAAAATGTTGAAGTTTATGTGTAATTCCTGCCGTCATTTTCCAACATTCACTGTTGTATAATAGTATTCCTAAAATGTTGCTCTTGTGTATTCTGAGTTTTGTTTTAAAACTAAATCCCTTGGACTTCCATTTATTGTTAAGCTTAATTTGCTTTGTTCATCCTTTTCAGAATCTCCATCTGGAGTAACTTTACCTTATATAAATTCTTCAACTTCTATTGCTTCATCATTTGAGACAATTTGATTTTCTGTTTTGAAATTATTTCTCATTACTTTAGTTTTACTGGTGTTTATTTTGAGTCCTATCTTAAGGGCTGTTGTTGAAAGTCTTTCAATCTTTTCTTGAGCGCACACATGATGGCTTGATATAAGGCTGATATCATCTGCATAGTCTAAATCCTCTAAAACAGAGGTATGTGACCACCTGATGCCTCTTTTTCTATCTCGTGTAACTTCCTTCATCAGCCAGTCAATGGCCAAATTGAACAAAGAGGATATTATACATCCCTGTCTGACTCTTGTGTTGACAAAAGAAACTTTCTGTTGTATAATTATCACAAACTACCTTGCATTGAAACTCTAAGTAAATGGCTTTGATCAAATTTACTATTTTCTGTGGTACACCATAGTGACGCAAAATCTCCCATAGTGATTCCCTATGCAGGCTATCAAAGGCTTTTTTTAAAACTCCACAAAGGTCATATAAACTGCACTATTCCATTCGTTACTTTCTTTAATTATTTGACGCATCGTGAAGATGTGATCAGAACATGATTTCCCTGTTCTGAATCCTACTTACTCTTGCCTTATTATACTATCAAGTGCCTGAGTCATTCTTTTAAGAATTATCTGGCTAAACATTTTACTAGTTACTGATAGTAATGTGATACCTCTCCAGTTGTTACAGTTTCCTAAATCTCCTTTCTTTGGTAATTTTTTAATAGTATCCTTTTCCCACTCGTGTGGGATTTCTTCTATGTTCCAGATTTCTTGAAAAATCTTACACAAAAGTTTTGGCGTTTCAATTTCCTCCACTTTCAGTATTTCTGGGCAGATTACATCACACCATGGTGCTCTGTTAACCTTTTGAGCTTTAATAGCCTCCCTAACCTCTGCCTCTGAAAAAGGCTCTAGGCTTATCTGTAGGTCTTCCTGTGCCTCAGGTATTTCAGCAAGTACAGGTGGGTCTGGACAGTTTAGTAACTCCTGGAAGTGTTCTTTCCACCTTTCTAATTTTTCTTTCTTGGCTGTAATAATTTTCCCACTGTTTGTTTTTAAAGGCAAATTTTGGTGTGATGCCACATTTCCTTTCAGTTTCTAAGTTATTTTGTACAATGTTTTTATGTCCACTTCCTCGGCTTCTGTTACTAGTTTTGCAGTATACGAAAGTTTATCTACTTTTGCTCCTGCTTTAACCTCATTGTTCTTTAGTGAATATTCTTTAAAAATATTTCCTTTCAATCAGGCTGATTTTGCACCTAACATTTGTCTTTTAACATCTTTATGTTGTGCTATTTCTCCCACGTCGACTGGGAAATCCACTCCTCTTTCTTTGACACCCTATATCCTAATATTTTCTCCCCTGCTAATTTGACAGCTTCATTAAATTTGTCGATTACCATTTCTGTTTCTTATTGTCAAACTCTGAATCTGTTTTTGAGTTCTATGTTGAATTGCTTTTGATATGTGTGTCCTGCATTTTCCTACATCGTATCACTGCTGTTTTTGTTCTCTTATTTTAGCTTTCCTTAGTTTTAATCTGATTTTTTCCAATAAGTAAATTATGGTCACTCCCTATATCCCCTGATCTACATACTCTGACGTCTTGCAGGGAATGCCTCCCTTTTCCATTTATAAGAACATGATCAATTTGGTTTTCCGTGTGTCCTTCTGGACTTCTCCATGTGACCTTATGAATTGTTTTATGAGAGAAGAGTGTTTCTCCAATTATTAGGTCATTAGATTGGCTGAAGTCACATAATCTCTCTCCGTTGTTGGTTATTTTCCCTGTTCCATGTTTTCCCATTGTTCTCTTCCTCCCTGCATTGTCCTTTCATACCTGAGCTTTAAAGTCTCCCAGGATTAATAATGGTATTATTTTAGGACAAGTACAGAAATTTAAGTATCTGGGCACATGGATAACATCAGATGGAAGATGCATAACTGAAATAAGAAACAGAATTGGACAGGCAAAAACTGCATTTTATTAAATGAAAAACATCTTGTGCAATATATCCTTGTCATTGAGAGTTAGAAAAAGAATTCTTGCTAGCTACATACATCCAGTTTTAACATATGGCTGTGAATCCTGGACAATCGGTAGGCAGGCCAAACAATTTCTGGAGGCCTCAGAGATGTGGTTTTACAGCAGAATGCTTAGAATACCTTGGACAGCCAAAAAGAGCAACCAAGAGGTTTTGAAAGAGGCTGGAGCCCGAAGACAACTTATCACAGACATCAAAAGGAGACATCATTTTTCGGCCATGCTATGAGAAGAGGGAAAATAGAACATGTTGTGACCACTGAAAAGATCTGTGGAAAAAGGGATAGAGGAAGACAACGAGAGAAGATGCTTGACAGTCTTGTTGAATGGCATGGAGGTGTGTCGGCGCACGAACTGATACATGCTGCAGGAGATCGCAGATTATGGAGAGGCATGATCGCCCACGCCAGTCGGCAAGGCACCTGATGATGATGATGATGAGGATTAATAATACATCATGCCTTAGGATGTCTTCTACTACTGTTTGCAGACTGTCGTAAAAGCTGTCTTTTATCTACCCTTCTGCATTCTCTGTTGGTGCGTAACAGACCAAGACAGATAATTTTGCAAATCTAGAATTGAACCTTGCATACAAAAGTCATTCACTTAAGGCTTCCATTCTATAAGAGTGTTGTTGAGACCCTTTTTAATTATTAATGTGACGCCTTTGGTATGTTGTTCATCAGCTCCACCTGACCAGATTATGCAGTCATGTGTAATCAGGTTTCTTTTTCCTGTCCCTGTCTAACATGCTTCTGTAATTCCTAAAATATGTACATTGTGTAGGTGCATCTCAGGAAGAACTTGTTCCACTTTTCCAGTTTGAAACAATGTTCTCACATCCAACACTTAGGGTATTTCTGGGAAAATCGTCATTTCACCAAATATCTGGCAAGCCTCACTTCTTTCCACTGGTTCGATGATTTAACTTGTTCCTATTTCCGTAACAAAGTATTTTTTTACAGTAATGGGTTGTCAACCCTTTGCCCAACCCCCAACCTGGAGGACCAGGGTGCTAGTTTGGTCTGACTCTTCTTTTCAAGATCTGTTCGGCATGGTTAAACCTGCCAAGGGAACAAGTCCCCTGCCGGCATAGCTCTAAGAGTCATTAGGGTACTCAAGCCATCCCGGCACGACAAGGCACCAGAATACATGGGATGGCTATATTAACTTGCTTAATCTATTTAAATTTATTTTCTTGTGATCGACTAAAAGCTTAAATAAATATACTAGTTAGTTAGTTAGAAAGTCGAGGTTTCAACATAATCGCAATCGGATTTCCCCATACCTGCTCCGTTACTGTGCCAGTGCAAATCAAATGAAAATGTCCCTCGCTGTTGCATATGAATAACTGGTGAATAAACAACTATTTCCAGAACAATCCAGAAATATGTGCATGCAGTAAATGCATATTTCAGTTGTTAGAGACGCCAAAGCCAACAATCACCACCAGAAATGCAGTTTGTCATTGATTGAAGTAGTCGTGCATGATAAGTTGGTTACTATGCACATGTAGAATTCTTATATAAGGTATTTCACCAGCTCATATGTAAACTGACCACCAGTCATATTGAACATAACGACACAACAGCTGCACAAATGAAAGGCATTCCATAGGAAAAACACAGCTCACAGGGCTGCAAACAAGCACAAAACTCAGTAGCTCAGGCAGCAAAACCGTAGACTACCGTCCTTATGTGGAAACTGAATTAGCAAAGCGCTGTCGATGCAAAAATAATTTAAAAGCTTAACATTCTGCCAAGCCTTTCCTCCATTTTGGTCGGAAGTCTTCAAATAGACTTCTTCAAATAAATATACTACATACCATTATGGATACTGACAAACTAAAATGCAATACACCTGTTCACCATTTTCACTGCTGAACATTTAGTCTTTGAATAATTACATTCTGTTTTTCACCATAAAATATACTTTTTCATCAATATATTCCTTTAGGCAGTTTAAATATGAAAACATCCCAGTATAGAAATAGTGAACTAAAAAAAGGCCATTAACCATGTTCAGATAAACAAGTGGCCAAACTACAGTTCAAGCACTAAATCTGTGGAGAAATCATGTCAGTAAATTACTATAAATTGCAGCGCATAAAGTTTTAAGCCTTGAACAAAAAATATTTCCTAAACTCATGGTCAACTTACACTGCGGGTATAACATGCCGTAGCTCCAGCAGGCCACCACAAATATAACCCACTAAAACTTGTTATATTAGCACAATGATTAATATAAAATAATAAAATAGTAAAACAAATTCACTCAACAACATTTTTTGTGTCAAACAGCTAAACCACTAAATGTAAACACTGACTGTTGATCTGTATCTATACTGATGTCAAAAAGTCTGAAAATGGATCTGAATCACTGAAAGTTTCAACTTCATATTCATTCTCCTCCCTATCCTTACAATAATAAATCATCTTCTTCCCCATCCAGTGAAATATTTGAAATGCCACACTATTTTGAAAGATTTTAGGACAGTTACTAAAGAAACACTTTTTTAAGAATTAACCATGAAATTGCACAACACAGCTAGTGGTGGAGCAAGCATATTACCGCCCTTTGTTAACAACTTTTCTCCATCCATCATCCATTTATTCAAGTCCAAATGAATAGTGTCTTGAAAAGGTTCATTCAGGCTGACACTGAGAGAATGTACTCGAATTTGTGTTTCAGTTTCTAGGATTTAGTTATTTGTTTCATTTATTCACTTGTTACTGTAGTATGCACCTGACGAGATACAGCGAAATATGCCAGGCAATAAATTGTGCAGTCTATTGTTTGTGTCTTCTTTGTTCAAAGTTACAGTATTGTTTCATTTCACATTTTCTGTTAGCTGAGATCTGAACATGTAACATACCAGCAAGCTACTTTCCTTTTATAAACCACATGGCCACCTTTTCAATAAATTGTCAATCCATAAATGCACTCTACCTTTTCCATCCAACTATTGGATGTGGGGGGAAAAAACACCTGGAGGAACTTTATTTTTGGCATTACCTTCTGTTTAAGCACTGATTTTTTATTTTGATTCACGAGGCTGCTCAACACAACAATACAGTTGTTATTTTCTGAACTTTTAATCAAAATCATCATTTTACTCTGAGGTCAACAGTTTTGTTGCTAGGCAAAGTGAAAAACAAAAAGCGGTTTCATCCACACTACCAACCTGACAATTTGGTTAGTTGTGTTGCTTTCACAGTCCAATGACGTTTCTGTGGAAATTTTTTATTTTGTCTTTGGGGTCTAAAGGGAATTTTTGTGTAATTTTAGTCTTCTCAGTGAACACAAAACTGTTCCTTTTCATACAGCAAGAACACAGGTTTACAGCTGTTTTAAAATCTTTGGTTTTATCTGGATCTGTTTTTTCCCCACTTAAGCATCTGAGTCTGTATAACAGTAATAGTAACTGTATAGTTATTTTCACTGACCTAGCCTTCTAAGCAATTTTCTTATTTAGGCCACTGACAGATGTCGGATCTTGCAGTACATTTCTTCTTAGGCATCTCCTTCAGAGAGGCTTCACTTTTCTTCCCCATCAAACACTATTTTTTTCATTTAATCTTTACTTTCTTGCTGCAGCACTATTGTATGAAAAGATTAAAAACCCAACATTCTCTGCTTGAAACTAATATCATATTTTATTAAATGGTCACTAAGTGTGCTGATACACTATATGGGACCTACAAGTGTGTGTTGTAGGTTGTTTGCCAAACAACACACAAATAAAGATATTACAGTTAGTGTTTCTGCAAAGAAGTGCCCCTTTGTCATCTGGAGCAAGAGGTTTGATTCCATGAGAGTTAAATAACTTTCTATTTTTATTCTGTTTACTGTGCTCTTGTCTCTATTTATTTCTTCTGCGTTATGCTTGCCAATCAGTACTTTACCATTAGTTGGAACACACTATTTCACTGGTCTCAAGGTTCTCCGAGATATTTATGTAAAAAAAAAATGGTTTTAATGGGCTTTAAAAATAAAAATAGTGTCCAGTATTAAGCACCTGTGCCACAGCAATTTCAGTCACGGGCGTAAGGGACAGTTAAGGCCGTTGTGTTGTGTATAAGGAGATTTTATCTCATCTCAGGCACCATCTGGCTGTATGCTGATTTTATAGATCCTAATGCAACATTTCTACAACTTAACAACATGTCCCGGTCATGCGCCACGGATAATGGCTCACATGAGCATTAATCAAGCTGGTAGGGGATCTCAAGAGTTGGTGGCCCTCAGAGATGCAGTGCCTAGACATTTTTTAGCCTTTATTAGGCAACCCCCTGTGCATTTGGGTGATGACATACATTTTAAACTTATTTGGAACATGAGTGAAGACCACTGGCCGAATATACAACCATATGGAAAACCTTGGTTTAAACGTATGTCAAAGCCTGCTAACCAGGCTAAAATGCCTGCCAGTCAGGTGTCGGAGTGACGTAATCGGCTGAGAGCCGCCTCACTAGGAACTGTTTAGAATCAGCTCTAGACCAAGAGATTCGTTCACAGCTTAAACAAGCAACATCTCCTGTGGACAGTATCTTATAGTTATGTTCTACAGCATAACAGCAAAGTTTTAGATATCCAACCATCGAATGTTATTCTGTGTTAAAGGCAAGTTTCAAAAATTCAACCATCTAATGTCCTATTGTGTGACAGACCAAGTTCAGATGTCCCCTACCTTTAGCCCCACTTATCGGAGTGTTGAGAAAAACTGAGAAGCCATGCCTGATGCATGCATTCTCCATGCAACAATGTTAAAGGTGTCCAAGTGCTGACAGAGATTGTGCCCATCTGTGTGGTCATTAAAGTCCCGGACCTGCTGGCTGCTCCTGCAGACGAGGTTCAGATGTCCGCTACCACAGACCCCACTCATCAAAGAGTCAAGATCAAACAGGGAAGCCAAGTCTGATGCATGCTTTTCCAATACTGTCGTGATAGGTGTTCCTATGCAACAATATTAAAGGTGTCTTCCGTGCTGAAGGAGACTGGCCCCATTTGTGTGGTCAGGCAAATATCGGCCCTGCGGGTTGGTGCTTGTTGATCTCCAAAAATTGCTACCCCTGATGAGTGGGGAGGTAAATTCATGGATTTGAGATTAAGCAGTCATGTGCAGGATGTGACAATTCCTTGGGTTAGCCTAGGACCAAAACATCATGTGTCGGCTCTGTGTTTATGGAAGCCTCCTTGGATGGCAGGGAATGCCAATGATCTGCCTCTGCCTGATTGTAACGGAGTTGGCATCACGATTGTGATGGCAGAACAAGGTATACACCAGGAATACATAGTGCCATAACCATCCGGGTCAGTGCAGTTATGGAGCAGAGGGCGAAAACTGTTGATATAAATAAGAAATTGCATGCTGCATTGTTACCCCTACTCTCTAAATGAGATCTGATAGTCTCATATTGGGAGACTGTTTTGACTGGACGAACCGTACTATGTGTAAGGAAGCAAATTTAAATAGGTATGAGGAATGAGTTGATAGTAGGCAATTCTAGATAGTCTAGGCAGTGATGTCATATGCCAGACGACCATATGGAGGCTTTTGATTGGATGGCATTTGTGGTGGTCTGAGGATAATGGTTCGGGATGGCCAGACACAGCGGTCAGTGCGGAGCTGGGCTGCAGGCATGTAAACATCAGGTTTGATTGATATTTATAAACAGATAAAAATAGACGGATCCCTGCAGCTCCTTACTAAAGCATGACCATATGTATGCCTGTATATAGCGTATTTTAGTTGCAGTTATGAAGACTGCTAGTTTTTTTTTTACATCGAGTTTTCAAGGAAATCTGTAGTTCCAGAGTGACACAGAAGTATTAATGAATCGATGCTAACACAGCTATTACTGTGTTACCAACGGTAATTATTGCTGGATGTGGGTGACGAGGGTTTTTGCATGCAAGGGACTCCTGCCTATAGTGGCAACTTTCCCTTGAGGGCCAACCACTCTGCACACAATCACCTCAGATGGGTTCACCATGGGCAACACGTAAAGATAAAAAGACACAGAGAACACCATGCGAATGAGGCTACATCACGTCAACTGGGAAGGCTAACTGGGTGAACAAATGCCAGAAGAAGTCAGTTGTGTCCGCCGAAAGGCGCAAATATTTCAGCTATGCTGTAAACAGACACAAAGCAATTAGTTCAGACAAATGAATAGAAGAAAAAAAAGTATTTAGCATTTAGTATAAAAAGTTTGTAAAGATTAAAATAAAAGATTTAACAAATATAACTGTCAAAATACTCTGCTACATGTAACATGGAAGGAAGATGAGGATGTAAATAAAATTAACTTTGGTGAATTAAATTAGAACAACTCATTTTGGGATGCTTCTGTTAAATGTAACATACCTCATCCAAGTCCCCTGCAGCAAGAAACTCTTGCATTGTTTCACTTTCACCAATTACTCTGACAGCACAAACTGCAAGAAGAACAGACAAAACTTTTTAAATTGCAAATCAAATCATTAATCCAAATTCACATCAGCATCCTAGCAAAGAAATGCAAATGAATATCAAATTTATTGTTGATATTTTAGCTACTCACCATTAACTAATGCCATTTTGTCAGCTATTCTGTTCAGTCATTTATTTTATAAATAAACTTAAAGAAAACTTGTGAAACTAGACACAATCTGCAGCAGGAAGAGTTAGATATCTGGAAAGCCTAGTTAAATGGCATTAATCAAGAGAAGAACACAGACATCAACCAAAACTGGTGATTATGCTGAGATGCTGCAGAATTATTTATTTCTGACAGCCTAATGTCCTTCTTTTGAAGGACAGATTTTCTTTTCCTGAGACCAACAGAGTGAGAATCTGAAACTGTCACAGGCAGATTCAGCTTTTTATTGGCAATAAAAGTGCAGGACACTCAAAGAAAAGTTGCCTTATGAGAGAGAGAGTATAATGTTTGCAATGGAGTGCAAACTGGTGATTGATAGTTTTTTTTTTTATAACCTAGGTGAGCTACTATTAGCTTTGGTATGCTCTCAAAATTTAGACCGTGATTTTTTTATGCTAAAGTTGAGAAGTCCTTAAATGACATTCGGTTTAAGCATTCAAATTTTTTTTTTTTTAGTTTCACAAGCTATTTAAAAGATGTGTGCAACTTTGATCATTTTGGGCGAGGAGAGAAGTAGGTTAAAGTGTCCGAGAAAGTTTCAAACTTGTGTAGGGGTCTAATCACTTTAGGTTGTGAATGCAGGGACTGGCCAGCTAGTGCTGCAAAATCAGAAGTTCAACAAATGATTCATGACAATTCCTGCCCAGGTTGAGTATTGAATGTTGAATTAAGAATCAACATCACAGCATTCAGGACACTTCCATAAGTGCTCAGTCCCCATCTTCAGCAGCAAGCGAAGAGTTCCAATTCCGATAGTAGCAGTAAACATCTGTAAATCCGTCTCATCCTTCCCCTGAGTGTTGAGTGTCAGCCAGATCCTCTGGTAACTTCTCGATGCGCCATTCTCCTTAGACATTCCCGCCCAGGTGATGTGATTACGTATACAAATGACTCTGTGTGAGAGGTAGACAAAGTGCATTGCAATTCACGGCAAAAGTGAATGGACGTCGCTTCTTCTTCACTTTCATCATTTACCTCAGCGAGGTGTTTGGGGGGTGGGGGGGGAGATGTAAGGATCGTTTGTGGACATTTTCCAATGCATTGTACAAGTTGGTGTTCATTTCTGTTAGGTTGCTCCTGATGATGTCGCTCCATCTCTTGCGAGATCTTCCCCTTGCTCTGTGTTCATTATATTTCTTCAGGGTGGCTCTTTGTGGCAGTTGGTACCAGGGTATTCTCGTCAGGTAGCCAAACCATCTCACTTAGTGATTAGTGATTAGAAAGGATTATCATCACAGTACTCCAGACAGATCCATAGGTGCTCCGATCTCCTCCTCAAAAGCTCCACTTGTCCTCTTAGTGAATTGCTCATTTCTTGCAGCTCCAGGCTGCACCCCCATGTCCATCAGTCTAGACAGGGATATGGAGTCATGTCCTTTGGCGTGCTCCTCGGTACGGTAAGTGCAGCGCATAGCATTGATAGCATCACTTCTGCCCAGTACTGGACCAGCCATAGCAACTGCAGTGTCAGCAAGATAGTCTGCACGCTCATTCCCTTGAACAAAGATGAAGGTTAGGGCAGATATTCGTGAAGTGCTTAGTGTTTCAATCCATTCTTGCCAAATCCAGCTTGGATTTTTTTAAGCATGATCATAAAGTCACTAAAAAAAGCATAAGTGTGTGAACTTGTGAGTACCAAGCCATGCTTAAGCCCTTGTTACAGCTATAGTTTCCACTGTAAGGCTACTAGTTGTAACAGCAAAGGCGCCATTTATCTCCTTGATGGTTTTCCCCCTTGAGCTTACTGTGAAGGCTCATGCACTTCGCTTGCCCCTAATTACTGACCCATCTCTGTAAACTACAGCATCACCTTCATCTATCTGTGTTTTCGTCAGTCAGTGTTCTGACTAAAGTGTCAACAATGCCACAAATCTGCTCTCTACAGCTTCCATCAAGTGTCATATGATCTGTAATATTAATTTTTGGAAAGGCATAATTATCCATTCATTTCTAAAACTAATGTCAGTAAGGCGGCAAACATGTTCGATGGCATCCTCAGCCAGACCCATCCAGGATTTGCCTCATTTGGGTTTACTCTTTTTTTTTGCTTGAATAATTCCTCATAAAGTGGGTGTCGATGGTCTGATTTCACTTTGAAAAAAGCAACAGCCCTGGATAGCTTGATTCTGTTTTCCATTGTGGGGAAATCCAAGAGGTATCGCATGGATTTACAGGAGGGGTCTCTAGTGCATCCAAGAATAATGCGCATTGCCTCGTTTTCAATTTTTTCCAGTCTGCTTATCTGTGTGGTGCTGAGTGTCATGATGGCCAAGGCATATTCAATGGTGGAGAGAACTAATGCACGATACAACATTACAAGTAGCCGTTGCTCAAAGTTTGCAGCTCCCATACCTTTTATTGCGGAGAGATCTTTCTTGGCTTTGGTTATAATGTGGTCTACGTGTTTTTTAAATGCTAAGCATCTGTCGAATGTTATACTCAGGTATTTCATGGAATCAGATCTCTCCACGTCAGCGCCACATAGTTTTATTATCGGCATTAGTGTTTTAGAAAGGTTATTATTTAATGAGAACTAGGTGACTATCGCTTTTGATAGATTAATTGTTGCCCCTGAGGTGTTGCACCAGGATGATATGCGATTTAAATGTCATTTCTGTTCCTGCCCCGTCGGTACACGAGGATATCATCCGCACATGATAGAGTTCTTCCTCTGCCACTCAGTTGTTCTCCTGTGATCTTGACTGTGTAAATGTTGAAGAGGATAGGAGACAATGGAGAACCCTGTCACAAACCAGGGTGTATTGTTATCGGCTCAGAAGACCAACTACCACATCCTTCCTCTGGAAAAGTGCAGCAGATATCCATCGAATGAGATGTGGGGTGGATGTTGAGTTCAATTAACTGATACATTAGTTGGTGGAAGAGAACTTTGCTGTATGCACCCTCCAGATCTATGGCGACTGCACATGTTTCAAATCTAGCTTGAAAACCTTTAAATGTGTCATGTGCAAAGACGGCAGCATAAGCCATGTCTCTGTATTTTGTCTGTATCCTCTAAGTGTGGAGAGTAGCAGCTGATGTATTTCAACATGGCTTGCCAGTCTTCTCGCTATTATCTTTTCCAATGTTTTGCCTAATGTGTTCTACATCATAATGATTCTATAGCCATGCAGCCAGCTTTCTGAGATGGTACCATTACAGATGCTGTCATTGTAGGCTTTACATTGGACCTCCATGGATTTTGTGGGCAGCTTTGCAATATCTTCATAATGAATGCCATCAGGGCCAGGAGCAGACCTCTTTGATGTTTTGATGATGTTCTTAATTTCAGCGACAGTAATACGCTGATCATCTTTAATGCCTGTACCGGCACGTTGCAACGACCATATCAATGTTAGTCTGACGGGTGGCATTGTCTTGCGTACAGATTTGCTTAAGGTATCTGTCAAGGAGTGCTCTTCCTTTCTCTTTATCAGACCTGTTCCATGTCTGGTCTTCATTACGGAAGTCTCTGATGCCTACGTGTCTGGGAGCACCTGTCATAGCCTTGTGTACGGACCAGAATTTTGCAAGAGATCTTTCCTTGTACACTTCATGGCAAAAATGTCCCAGGTTGTGTCCTTTGCTTGCTGGGTAACTGCTCTGAAGGCTGCTGTTGTGGTCTGCATGGTGTGTTTACATTCCCACAGTAGGTCTGGAGTAGAGTCAGTGGATTTCATTGCTTTCTGCCAGATCTTTACAGCATGTCTTTTAAGTACCCACGCTGACTCAACCTCATCGTTCCACAACAATGGCTGTTGCAGCTATTTTCTTCAGCCTACATGGTGCAGGCTTTTGATTTTCCTAAGCTCGCTATGACATCATTTTCTGATGTGTATCTAAAAGGGTTTAAATTGATCCTATGATTCTGTGCTGACACCTTTTTTTAAGAGAATAACACAGGGACAGTGGTCGCTGCCATGATTACCTAGTACATACCAACTACGGTGTGGACTAAGTGCAGGTGAAACTAAAGCCAAGTCAAGCACACTGTCTTCTTCTTCTGGTTGACAGGCCATCCTGGTGATTCTTCCATCGTTTAGGCAGACTAGGTCCAGTTCCACCATGGCATCCTCCAAATCCTCTCCTTGTCTGTTTGTTGAACTATTGCCCCATCGGTAACTTTTAGCATTGAAATCGCCACAGAAAGCTATATTTTCTTCTGTTTGCATTATTTCTTGAAGGCACATCCACTTTTCTCTGCTTACTTTACCGTTACATGCGTAGACATTAACCAGCATAAAAGACCGCGTCACACGTATTGTAACAGCTTGTAACTGGAGGCTGGTATCTTGCTATTTAGACATGTCAACTTCATGGGCTTCGAAATTATCTCTGAATAGAATAGCCTGTCCCCGGTGTAGCTTGTTCTGAAACGTATGAAATCCTGTGAGTTTCAGTGTATTGTCACCTAGGAGTGTTTCTTGCAGAGCAACCATGTCAGCACCATATACTAATTTTTAATTTGTCCAGGATAGGTCATCTCTGTTTGACACTGGCACAATTTTGAACATTCTTTCGACCTATCCTTTCCAATTTCAGTAGTGATTTTCTGGCCCCAGCTTGTTTTACTTTCTGATTATTTTTTCAGCCTGATGGGTGTTTTCTGCGCTTCCTCCTTTTAATGTGTACATCACTATTATTTATCTGTGGAGCAAAAAGAAGATGTCAGCTTAAACGCACGTACTCCGTCGCGTAAGCTGAAATCCTGGACCGACATTTTCACACGCGGCAAGTCGCAGAGGTCGTCAATGTTGTTGCTAAGGCCGCCATGACGCCGATTGGCAGCATAAACAT